GTTGTGGGTGTCGTTGTTGATGCCGTCGTTGAAGATGTTGTTGTTGGGGCCTCTGTGGATGCGGTAGTCGTCGTTGTGGGTGTCGTTGTTGATGCCGTCGTTGAAGATGTTGTTGTTGGGGCCTCTGTGGATGCGGTAGTCGTCGTTGTGGGTGTCGTTGTTGATGCCGTCGTTGAAGATGTTGTTGTTGGGGCCTCTGTGGATGCGGTAGTCGTCGATGTGGGTGTCGTTGTTGATGCCGTCGTTGAAGATGTTGTTGTTGGGGCCTCTGTGGATGCGGTAGTCGTCGTTGTCGGTGTCGTTGTTGATGCCGTCGTTGAAGATGTTGTTGGGGCCGCTGTGGATGCTGTAGTCGTCGTTGTGGCTGTCGTTGTTGATGCTGTCGATGAAGATGTTGTTGTTGGGGCCGCTGTGGATGCGGTAGTCGTCGTTGTGGGTGTCGTTGTTGATGCTGTCGTTGACAATTCTGTTGTTGAGGCCGTTGTGGCTGTGGTTGTTGTTGTGGTCGGTATGGTAAAAGTGGCTGTTGTGATCGGTGCGGGTGTGGTTATCGTCACCGTGGTTGGTTCGGTAATGGGCGTTGATGATGACGATGACATTGGAGCCGTGGTGGTTGTCGTGAAGGTGGGTGTGGTTGTTGATGCTGTCGTTGACAATTCTGTTGTTGCGGCCATTGTGGATGTGGTTGTTGTGGTCGGTATAGTAGAAGTGGTTGTTGAGATCGGTGTGGATGTGGTCATCATTGTCGTGGGTGTCGTTGTGGTTGGTTCGGTAGTGGTGGTTCTTGATGTTGTCGATGACGTTGGCACCGTCATGGTCGTCGTCAAGGAGGGTGTGGTTATTGATGCTGATGTTGATATCTCTGTTGTTGAGGCCATTGTAGATGTGGTTGTTGTGGTCGGTATGGTAGAAGTGGTTGTTGTGATCGGTGTGGGTGTAGTTGTCGTCGTCGTTGTGGATGGTTCAGTACTGGTGGTCGATAATGTTGTCAATGACGTTGGACCCGTTGTGGTCGTCGTGAAGGTGGGTGTGGTTGTTGATGCTGTTGTTGACAATTCTGTTGTTGAGGACGTTGTGGCTTTGGTTGTTATTGTGGTCGGTATGGTAAAAGTGGTTGTTGGGATCGGTGCGGGTGTGGTTATCGTCGTCTTGGTTGGTTCGGTAATGGAGGTCGATGATGACGATGACATTGGAGCCGTGGTGGTCGTCGTGAAGGTGGGTGTGGTTATTGATGCTGTCGTTGACAATTCTGTTGTTGGGGCCGTTGTGGATGTGGTCGTTGTTGTTGTCGGTATGGTAGAAGTGGTTGTTGAGATCGGTGTGGATGTGGTCATCATCATTTTCGGTGTGGTTATTGATGCTGATATCGCTGTTGTTGGTGCCGTTGTGGATGTGGATATGTTTTTTGATGCTGTCATTGATATCATTGTTGTGGAATTTGTCAATGTTTTTATTATTGTTAGGTTGTCAATTGTGTTTGTTGATACTGCCATTGACATTGCCGTTGTTGTGGCCTGCGTGTTTGTTGTCATTATAGGTGTCATTGTTGCTATCGTTAATGTTGTTGTTGGAGCCATTGTGGATATGGTTGTCGTCATTATGGGTGTTGTTGTTGAAGGTGTTGTGGTGTAGGTGGGTGTATTTGTTGATGCTGTCGTTGATATTTCCATTGGTGCCATTCTAGATGTGGCTGTCATCATTGTAGGTGTCATTGATGGTGGTGTCATTGATGGCATCATTGTGGATGTGGTTGTTGTGGTAGAAGTGGTTTTTGCGGTGTTTATCGTTGTGGGTGTCATTGTGGCTCGTTCGGTAGTGATGGTTGTTGGTATTATTGATGCTGTTGTTGTTGGGGTCATTGTGGATGTTGTAATTGTGGTTGTTGATACTGTCATTGGCATTGCCATTGTTTGTACAGGGGTTGTTATTGTGATTGGCACTGTGGTATTTTGGTAAGTAACATTATTGCAGGAGTGTTGTTCGGTAAAAATTGGTTGTATGTCTTTTAAAGTAAATCTTAAAGAACCACCAAAACTTTGTTGAAGACTCAACTGTACCTGTAATGAACATAAAGGATTTACAGAATATTAAAGTCATTGTTTACAACGATATGATGAAACATCCATAAATCCATTTTCATTAACTGCCTATTGGAGTCACTGAGTATGGAAGCATTCAAAGGAAACAGGCTATATAGGGTAGGGGATGCCAGTGCATAAATGGGCACAGACTCATACACAGGCGCTATGGGGAGAACATGCAAACTCCAAAGGGTGGGTCCAGAGGGGAAAGTGAAGCTACATCCCTGGATGTGTGAGGCCAAAGTACTACTCATTTTGTCAACCACAACTAACATATAATAGTATAATTATTTACAAAATAACGCCCATACTATTGGTATCTTCCTAAAACAAAGATTAAGAAACTATTAAACGATGCAACTATGCTAAAAAATTATAGCAAGTACATAGACTTATGATTCAAAAGAGTGATGTGTAAAGAGTAAATGAAATTAAGACAAAAAAACTTGAACATTATGAAAAGTTCCCATCCCAAACTCACTTATAAAGTACAGAGAAATCAGTTTACCTGCTGTAAGAAGTCTTGAACTGCATTTTTATTAGGAAACACTGCAGATCGAAAGATAGCTTGTAGTTTAGCAGAAGTGAAGCTATATTTTGTGGGCTTAGACGACATAATTGAGGATGTTGTGCTTGGAGTTAACCCTCTGGGATCTAGGGGTAGGGAACACACTTTCACTCAATATCATATATCATTTCATTCAATATCATAAGCTTAATTAATGGCAAATAAATGATTTCTTATTTATTTCTTTTGGCATTAAACTCATCTTACTTAAATATTTCAGATTTATGTGAAGTTTGTAATTTGACATCAAAGTATAGACATTGCAAAATGCAGTTTTAGAACACTTGCAGAAACATAATAAAAGTACATAGTAAGCAATGATGGAAGTTTGTTTTTAACCCAGGTATCTGATCACCAAAGTCTTGGGTACATAAAGATGACTAAATGGTGCAGTTGCAACATTCAATTAGATAAATAAATAAGAAAAACCGAACTCATGTCACTATTTCTGGTCTCCTGTTGAATATGTAGGAGCTTTCATGTATATGCATGAGCCATTCACACCTGGCCACATCCCCCCCC